CTCTTTATCTGTCCTTTTATTCTAAATGATAGCTTTGCTGGGTAGAGTAATCTTGGTTTTAGGTCCTTGCTTTTCATTACTTTGAATATTTCTTGCCAATCCTTTCCAGCCTGCAAAAAAATTTTTTGATAAATCAGCTGATGTTCTTATGGTGTCTCCCTTGTAGGTAACTAATTTCTTTTCTCTTGCTGCTTTTAAGATTCTCCATTTGTCTTTAACATTTTGCATTTTAATTATGATGTGTCTTGGTGTGGGCCTCTTCGAGTTCATCTTGTTTAGGACTCTGCCCTTCCTGGACCTGTATGTCTATTTCCTTCACCAAATTAAGGAAGTTTTCTGTCATTATTTTTTCAAAGGGGTTTCCAATTTCTTTCTCTCTCTTTTTTTCTTCCAACACCACCATGATGTGAAGGTTGGTATTCTTGAAGTTGTCCCAGAGGCTCCTTACACTGTCCTCATTTTTTTTCTTTTTTGTTCTTGATGCTATGATTGGTTGTTTTTTGCTTCCTTATATTCCAAATTGCTCATTTGATTCTCAGCTTCATCCACTCCACTGTTGAGTCCCTGTAAATTGTTCTTTATTTTAATAATTGTATCCTTCATTTCTGACTAGATCTTTTTGATGCTGTTGAGGTTCTCACTAAGTTCCTCAAGCATCCTCATAACCAGTGGTTTTTTTTATTGCAGACATTTTATTTTTATTTTTATTTTATTGATTATGCCATTACAGTTGTTCTATTCCCCCCTTCATTCCCCTCTACCCTGCACCCCCTCACCCCTACCATTCCCCCCTTTAGTTTATGTCCATGTGTCTCAAGTTCTTTAGATTCTATATTTCCCATACTATTCTTGCTCTCACCCTATTTTCTACCTACCGTCTATGCTACTTGTTTTCTGTACCTTCTCCCCCCTTCTCCTCCCGCTCCCCTGTTGCTAACCCTCCATGTGATCTTCATTTCTATGGTTCTGCTCTTGATCTAGCTGTCCTTTTAGCTTGCTTTTGTTTTAGATGTGGTTGTTAATAACTGTGCATTTGCTGTCCTTTCACTGTTCATCTTTTTTATCTTCTTTTTCTTAGATAAGTCCCTTTAACATTTCATATAATAAGGGCTTGGTGATGATGAACTCCTTGAATTTGATCTTATCTGAGAAGCACTTTATCTGCCCTTCCATTCTAAATGAAAGTTTTGCTGGATAGAGCAATCTTGGTTATAGGTCTTTGGATTTCATGACTTGGAATACCTCTTTCCAGCCCCTTCTTGCCTGTAAGGTCTCTTTTGAGAAATCAACTGACAGTTTGATGGGAACTCCTTTGTAGGTGACTGTCCCCTTAGCTCTTGCTGCTTCTAGGATTCTCTCTTTCATTTTAATCTTGGCTAATGTAATTATGATGTGCCTTGGTGTGTTTCTTCTTGGGTCCAACTTCTTGGGACTCTCTGAGCTTCCTGGAAGTCTATTTCCTTTGCCAGATTGGGGAAATTCTCCTTTATTATTTGTTCAAATAAATTTTCCACTGGTGGCTGTTCCTTTCCCCCTTCTGGTACCCCTAAAATTCGGATGTTGTAGCATTTAAAGATATCCTGGAGGTTCCCAAGTCTCTCCTCATTTTTTTGAATTCTTGTTTCTTCATTCTTTTCTGCTTGGTCATTTTTTTCCTCCTTCTGGTCCACTCCTTTGATTTGAGTCCCAGTTTCCTTTCCATTACTATTGGTTTCCTGTGCATTGCCATTCATTTCAATTAGTTTAGCCTTCATATGTTCCTCTAATTTGTGACTGTAATCAACCAGTTCTGTGTGCATCCTGATGACCAGTGTTTTGAACTGTGCATCTGAGAGTTTTGCAATTTCTTCGTCACTTAGATTTATGGGCTCTGGGGCTTTGATCTTCTTGAGCCATTTTTGGTCTGTTCGCACTCATTAAGTATGAGGAGTGGAGCCTTAGGGGTGGGGCGGGGCCTCCAGGGCGGGGTGGCTGGGTCCTGCCGCTGTATGTGGGGGCGGGGTCAAAGCCAGGAAATGGCGGCCTCCTCTCTCTGGGACCTCCTCTGTCCCGTCTCACTGCCTACTCCCTCGCTGGTCTATCTGCACAGGAATGCGCCAGCACAGTCAACCCACTGCCCTTTATCCTCCACGGATCCGCCAGTCGCTCAGTGGGTCGTGCTCACTAGGTCGCTCACTGGGTCGGCCCTTTGCAACCCCACGCCTGGGATCTGCGCGCCTGAGTCTGTCTGACTGAGTTTTCCTGTGCAACCCCGCTCCGCCAGCTGCTGGTTTCGCCCCACTTACCGGTCAGGCTAAAGAATTTGTTGTTATTGGACTTCCGAAAAGTTCAATTTTCTGTGTTCTGGCTATGTTTTCTGGCTATGTTTTCTTGCTAATATTTTGTTGTCTCTAAACTTGGTTGTGTGAGAAAGCACCATAACCAGTGTTTTGAACTCTGCAGCTAGGAGCTTGCTTGTCCCTATTTTGTTTAGTGTTCTTGCTGGCACTTTGCTCTGTTTTTTCACTTGGGCCAGGTTTCTTTGTCTCCTTACTTTGGCAGCCTCCCTGTGTTTATTTCTATACATTAGGTAGAGCTGCTACATCTCCCAGGCTTGGTAGAGTGGCCCAATGAAGTAGGTGTCGTTTAAGCCCTAAACAATTCGTTCACTTGTCTAACTTTGCTCAGACATATATTGAGCACTCATTGTGTTCTCTACACTCTTCTAGGCATCAGGGGGAAAGGAAATGGAAAAGACTCACAAATGATCTGTCTTTTTTAACCAGTTTGACACTGGTTATATGATGGCATTTCTTCTTATGGAGATAAAATTAACCTGCAACGAAAAGCGATATCTATTAAGTATATAATTGGGTGAGTTTTAACAAGTGTATGTATTCACGTAACCAACACCCAAATGAAGATATAAGATGCTTCCACACCCCTAGAAAGTCCCTTCTGTCATTCTTCAGTCACCCTCCCTTCTCAGACAGTTGTGTCCTAATTTCTGTCATCATGGGTAAGTCTGCTCTTGAAGTCATATAATAAAATTATATAATAGTATTCCTTTCTGTCAGATTCATTTACTCTGTGCAGTTTTAAAGATTCACCCATATTGTTGCATTAGTAGTTGATTCCCTTTTATTACTGGTCAACATTCCTTTGTATAAATGTACATTTTTTTAATCCATAATTTTATGAGTGGACATTTGTATTTGTTTCCAGTTTTTGGTTGCTAGATATAAAGCTCCTATTAACATTCTTGGTTAAGTTTTTGTGAATGTCTATTTTTACTCTCTTGGATAAACCGGAGTGAAATTGCTCAATCACTAGGTGGGTGTATAATTTTGTAAGAAGCTCCCACCAGTTATGCAAAGATGCTCTATTATTTTATATAACCCCCAGCTGTGTATGACAGACCAACCTGTACTACACACTCAGCACCAACTGATGTTGTCAGTCTACTTACGTGTAACCATTTTAGTGGGTGCGAAGTGGAATTTCAATGGGGTTTTCGTTAATATTTCCCTGAGGACTAATGATGTTGAGTATCTTTTCGTGTGTTTACTAGACACTTCCATGTCTACTTTTGTGAAATGTCTGGTCAAGCCTTTTGCTTATTTTTAATAGTTTCTTATCCTTTTATTTTTGATTGGTAGGAGTCCTTTATACGTTGTAAGCTCTTTATCTGATGTATAAATTAATATTTTCCTCTCATTTTATGATTTGCATTCCTGTGTTGTGTTGGTGGTTAAGGTAAGAGCCTCCTAATTTTTTAACTTCTAAATTAATTTTATTTTTCAATCACAGTTTAGATTATATTCTTCTGTATTAGTTTCAGGTGCATGGCATAACGGTTAGACAATCATATACCTTAAAAAGAGTTCCCCCCAATATTTCCAGCTCTCTCCTGGCACCATATTGATTTGCATTTTTTAAATAGACCTTTTAAAAGCAGTTTTAGGTTAACAGAAAAATTGATCAGGAGGTATAGAGAATTCCTGTATCCCCCCTACCACTGCCTATACATAGCCTCCCCCACTGTCAGCATCCTGCACCAGTGTGGTGTATTTGCTACAATGAATGAACACACCATTATCAGCCAACATCTATAGTTTACATCAGGGTTCTTTCTAGGTGTTGTACATTCAATGGGCTTGAACAAATACATGATGACAGTTATCTACCATCACAGTGTCATACAGAGTTGTTTCAATGTCCTAAAATTCTTCTCTGCTCTTCCTGTTCATCTCTCCCTGGCCACAACCTCTGACTACCACTGTCTCTGCAGTTGTGTCTTTTCCAGAACATCACATAGTTGGAATCACAGAATATGTAGCCTTTTTAGGTTGGTTCTTTCACTTAGTAATATGCACTGAAGGTTCTTCAGTGCCTTCTGAAGGCTTGACAGTTCATTTCTTGTTGGCACTGAGTAACAGTCCATTGTCTGGATGGATTGCAGCTCACTTGTCCATTCATCTGTTGAAGGACATCTTGGTTGCTTCCATGTTTTTGCAATTAGTAGATAAAGCTGCTATCCATGTGCAGATTTTGTGTCGACATAACTTTGCAGCTCATTTAGGCAAATACCAAGGAGCACCATTGCTGGAGCACACGGTAGCATATGTTTAGTTTTAGGGGAAACTGTCAAACTGTCTTCTAACGTGATTGCATCCTTTTGCGTGTTCCATCGGCAATGAGAGTTCCCATTGCTTCACATCTTCACCAGTGTTTGGTGTTAGTGTGTTGGATTTTGGTCATTCTAATAGGTGGTAGTTGTGTTTCATTTTTGTTTTAATTTGCACTTGCTCAATGACATATGATATTGACAATCTTTTCATAGGCTTTTTTTTGCCAACTGTACATCTTCAGGTTTTTGCCTATTATTTAATTATATTTCTCTAATTAAAAATTTCATGATTACATTGTGTACATATCAGCACAACCAAGCTAAGTACCATACCCATCATTTCACATAGTTATTCTTTTTTGTGTGGTAAAAAACTTAAGATAACTTTCTGAAAAATATGGACCACTTCATGAACCCGCATGTTGTCCTGGTACAAAGGCCATGCTATTCTTCTCTGTATCATTCCAACTAGGACACGTGCTGCCAAAGCAAATACTCAAGGTTTCATTTTGTTCCGTGCATCCTCCAATTGTTCCAACACCATCTGTTTGAAAGACTTCTCTATCCCATTGACTTGATTTGGCACCTTGGTAAATAACCAATTGACTGTGCACGTTGGGCATATTTTTTTATTTGATTATTCTGCTCTGCACATATACACACACATTATTTTATGGCTGTGTTGTATAATCCAGGCTTGATTTATTATTATGATTTACATATACTATGTGTATTATAATTATATCCATTTTTAAAATTCCATTTAAAAATCAAAATGAAAACATCTTCACAGGCCCCTGAAAGTATCATAGGCCTTAGGCACTGTGCCTAAAGACAATTGGCCCTCTTAGGGATAGAGCTAGCTTCTGCGCATGTAGCCACGTCAGAAAATGAGGCAAAGAAGCTTCTGAAGTGTTCTCTAAGAGCCTTGGCTGGGCTTGTAGGCCCTGAGAGCAGCAATTATCTAGTAGCCCATGATCAGTTGCTCACAGTATTACATTTTCACTGTATTATCTCTGATCCTTCAGTAAAATCTGGCTTGCCTTGCAGTAACAGGTGGTGTCATCTCTATATAGGAATATGCTGTCTGTGGTTGAAGGTACCCTGTTTCTATGAGAAACTCTGCAAGGGGGAGGATATGGTTCTTCCTTAGCTTATTATAATCAGAGATATTTGTATGAAAATAGAATCTCTGTCACTTCCGTGATGCTCAGCTCCTGCCGCTCAGTTCCCACTCACAGGCATGTCCTTTGTGATATACTAGCTGCTGTGGAAATGATTATCCTGCCATGGAGAAAAGAGACTCATGAATTTAAAAGAAGAATGAGCAGCAGGAGCAAAGGAACTATGCCAAAAGCCAAACATTCCGTCCCATTTAATTTTCTCCTGCCTGTTAAATATATACTGCATCATAAAGCTGGGTGTATCAACTTAAAAAATACAGTTTCAGGGTTAATGATAAATAATGACAAAAGGAAAAATTGAAAAGAAAAGGCACGATATAAGGCTGAGAGTCCACACAGAAATGAGAGCATGTTTGAGCTAAGGAACACTCAGCAATAATAACCATACACTATGGGCCGCAGTACCACGGTTTAGATACATAATTAAGCTATTTGGGTAGCGCTGTTGCAGCCTAACCTCTGATGAGTTGTTGAGGTGATGTAGGCATCATTCGACAAGTAGGAAGCAGAGTGTTGAGGCAGAAACAGAGTGGGCTCTGCATCAAACTGAGCTGATTAAACATCACTCACAAGTATTGATTTCAGACAGGCTCCTTGCCCTTCTTTGTACTCCAATTTCATCAAGCATATACTTGGGACAAATTTGTAGGAGTGTTTTTTAGGCTATTTCATTGGCATGGACTCATATCAGTGATTGATAGCCAATGTCCGTTCCTATTGGTCATGGCACTCATTCTGATAGGTCAGTGCCCATTCTGTACGAGTTATTAAATTTTCTGAAGAGCATCTGTGCCAATCAGGACAGGATAGGCTATGCTACAGTAATAATTTCTGATATCTCAGTGGTTTAACACAGTGAAATTATATATTTTTGCTTTCATAGCATCCCTTGTGGGTTTAGCCACTGTCCTGCCTCTTGTGACTAACAATTTCCAATCCAAGGTGTTACGGCAGGAAAGAGATGGAGATAAGGAGGCATACCAGCTTTTTAAAATCTCCTTGACTGGAAAGAAACAACTGTGATTTCCACTCAGCCCATGGGCCAGAACTAGCCACATGGCCCCAACCTTTCTGCAAGGGAGCCTGGGAAAAGTAGAGGAGGTTACAGAGTCATTGCTGAGCACTGTGTATAGTGACTATGTAGAGAGTCTTTGCTCCATCACCCCTTGCTTTGTGAGGATGAGATGAAATGTATACAAAGGATTTATAATTGTACCTGATGAACTAGGTCACACCACAACGGCCGATCCAGGTTGAAGTCTTGGTGTGGATGACAAGTTGGTTGAGATTATTTTCATTTTTACCTGAAATCAGCAAAGAGACAAAAGAAAGGATACACATAGAATTAACTAAGATTACAGGGCAGTACATATTGAATGCGGCACCCCAAGGCCCCCCTCTGCCTTGCTCCTTAAGGAATCAAGCCTCAGGTTCAGCAGTCAGCAATCAGAGTAGGACACCTGAGGGAGGAACTGGCCAGGTCAGAGGAGCCCAGGATAAATAACTGCCACTATTTTAGGCTGGGCTGGATAGTGGCAGTGCAGGGAATGATGGCAAGAGGAGTCCACACACAGGGCCCACCCGGTCAGGGTAGAAGAATTTCCTGCTGGAGTCGCAGTTACCTATCCCATGGTTTATCCCTTATTGCATTGTTGAGGCTTTCTGTGTACAGTTGAATTACAATGGACACTGTAAGAGATGCTAAAGAAAATACCTAGCCTCCTCTCCTAAGGAATTTATAATCTAATTGAAGATATGAAGTCACTGTTAGTAAATAAGCCCATTGATAAATGGCAGAGAACTATACCTATATACTATACCTAACAAAGAAATTAAAAAACAGGGCAGTATATAATATGTTAATTTTGAGGCACAAATGGCAAAAAAAGAATGAAAAGAGAGAAAAATGACTAGAAAATTTAGTGCAAGTCAGACAGAAATGATTCTCCAAGGACAAACAGTTAAGAAATATTTCAGTTTAAGTTCAAGTGCCAAAGCTAAGAAGGGCAGAGAATTTCAGATCACATTTAACACCAAGAATGATCTAGGAGGCTGAACACATTTCAGCCCAGTGTCTCCGAACAAACTTGAACGCTGTGGGAATGGAATGCATGTGAGCTACCCCCCGGGGCTTCCACAAATGTCTGGGGAAGACTGGAAGACGCCGCTGAGGTCTCACAGTTGCCCAGCAAGGGACTAATGAGAAAGAATAGTTGGGCTTTAATATATTCATACCCATAAGTTAGAGGACTTTCTGCGTTATGCTACAATTTCAATCATGATTAGCATATAGCTCCAATCTCATTATATTGTAAGCATTTCCTTGTATTCTGAAACAATCCTTAAGACATAATTTGTCATGGAAGGAAAACAATATCTCTCAAGTATTAGAGAACGTGGGTTTAGAAACATACATTCTTTCCTTAAATTTTTACGAGATCAATGTGAAGTAGGTGCTATCATCACTCCTGTACAGATGAAAACTCTGAGGCTGGGAGCTATTAAAGTCACATAGCAAGTCCCTGATTGCGTTGGGATGAAATCTTAGTTTGATTTGAAAGCCTGTCTTCTAACCAGTGTATTATACTACCTGCCATTTGCCATCATGTTGCCTTGCCACCATTAAACAGATCCCCTCTTGTTGAATATTTACGTGGTTTCAAGTTTCTTTAGTATCGGTAATCTATGGTAACCGTTCCTGCGCTTGAATCTTGTGAGTACAAAGTTCATGTGCACCCTTACATGCAAATCGCTTTAACAGTGCATATTCTGGGGGATGAACTCCTCACAGGGAAGATTCTGCTCCTCGGAGCTCAATCACTTTAATGTCTTTGATAATACTATCAAATTTTCCAACTGAAAAGTTGTATTAACTATAAGTTCATCTAAGGTGTATGAAAGTGACTTCCCCTAAAACTCCCTCCTCACAGTGGATACTGAAACTTTAAAGCTTTTTGTCCACCTAACAGCAAAACGTTCAAAGCTTAAGAGTCCCACCAGACTACCTGGATCTGTGGTGTGTTAGCAACCCTTGGTGTCCCTCATGTGGTTTTAGTCTTTGATGCAATAACAGATGTTGCATTAATTGCAATTCATTGCATATTTAGCCTAGCCCCTCTTGGACCACAATAAGACATTTACAGTAAAAAAAGGTCGTGTGAAGTCACTGAAATTTATTTAATTGAGGTCAGCAGCATTGGTCAACCAGAGACACTGACTCTGGGTCAGGAGACTTTGAGCCGATCTGTACCTGAAATTCCTCCTGTGAAGGACACACAGAGAGAAAGGCTCTGTCCTTTCGCCTGTAGACAGAGAGCGGTCGGCGACCCTCCTACATGCGGTCCTGGTATGCGTTTACGGGTGGACGGGCAGGAACAAGAGGCAGGAGCGCTGCTCTGTGGTATGAATAGGATTAAGAAAACAAAGGAGTGATGACGGAAACTCAAATTTTCCTTACTACTAACTGTTAAGAAATGAGTTTTTAAAATGAGTGCGCCTGTCTCTTTGTTTCTGGAAAAATGGAAACCATTTACAATTCCATAAATAATGTCTGGGAAATTTGTATAGCTCGTCAACTAAAACATAAGTGAGGCTGTTCTTTGAAAAAGAATTTAAATGTTTCTTGCAAGCATTAAAATTACTTAAAACTAGTGGCATGTTTTTTTGTTAAGTAGACTAAAGCTATTTTCCTTGTCTCCGTTCAGCTCCCTGAACCTCAGTATCAACAAGGAAGCTGCCTTAATTCCTAATTTCAGATAAAACACCCATGGTGCAAATGCGTATGTTAAAGTGAAAAGCAGCAGTGCGTGAGAAAATCTTAGTGTATGAAGAGCATAGGATTTTGAGTCAGGAAAATTGAGTTTATGTGCAATTCCAGCTGTTTAATTTGGGAGGAGGGACGGCAGCCTCATACCCTAAACCAGGGGTGTCCAACCTTTTGGCGTCTCTGTGCCACACTGGAAGAAGAAGGGTCGTCTTGGGCCACACATTGATTACATTGTGGCACATGATCACATAAAAATCTCATCATGTATTAAGTAAATTTACGAGTTAGTGTTGGGCCACCTTCACAGCCATCCTGGGCCACATGTGGCCCGTGGGCTGCAGTAGCGATGTATATATTCACCTGTAGTCGGGTTGTGAGGCTTAGGTAACATGCCTCTGAAATGACTAGACGTGATAGATGGCTAACAAGTGTTACTCGTTTTATTATCCAGCATGTCCTTGGGAGATAGACTAGTGCCCTGATCTGTAATTGTCTCGCTATTCTGTTCTCATCAGGATTTGACTTTAGAGTAATAGAATTTGC